GTGCGGAATGAATTGTTTAATGTGCATCAGTATCAAGGCAATGTGCGGATGTGTGCTACCAGTTTTTTAAGGGTGGGGGTATTTTTAGACCATCGACCCTATTGGATCATTAGGCTGCTTTGCAATGCTACCAGGTGGTTATTTGGGCTTTAGGCCTGCCGACTGCCAGGTTCATTAAGGCAGTCATCGTGTTGAGACTCCTTCGCGGCTGGAATAATGATGTGTGCAACATTTGATTGGTTGTTGTGCGGATGCGCAACCGCACAGCTTAGAGGGAACACTGCTCCCCACAAATATATATCCCCTTGTCTTAAAATCTAAGACCAGACAGATAACATTATGGCCATTGTTCTATTACTGTCTTCATATGTATGTCTCTCCACTTCATGTTTAGTCCATAAAAGACATGATTTTGAAGAGTTTTAACTCTGAAACAATACATTACTGTGTCCTAGTTCACGGTCAAGGGTTACTGTTTATTAAAAGCGTCACATAAATGAAACATGCTAGATTAAATACATTAAATGTATGTAGAAAAATCTGAACATAGGAGATATACGCAAATATAACCATAAAAATCGGTTGCTTTGTGCTCAGAGTAATTTCTAGGTGTCTGATTCAATTTATTTATCAGTCATTAAACATATTCGTATTTTATCAACAGAGTAATTAATGGCTAAGCTTAGCTCATTGTACCGTCTAGTGAATTATGCACACGCCACATCACTTTCCAGAATGTTAATACAAAACTGCTGACTTTGACAGGTATATAGCAATGGCCAATTACACATTAATGACTCTGAAGTGTCAGTTTTCATTTGATTAACTAATATTCTCGTTCACGGCACTTTGTTGATTCACACCACTCAGTTTTTAAACATACAATAATCGCAAAAGAACGTTTAGAAAACAGCTATATGTCTTAAGATACGTACTTCTAGTCGGCTGAACATGGTCTAATGTTAGCATGCGGTTCTCTAAACTGAGGATGCGTGGTTCACATCTCGTTGCCGCAAACCCCCCTTATGCGATTAGAGTAGCTTAAAAGTTGGCGGTGAGTGCTGTTGATTAACTGTTTTCTCTGTAGTCTAGCAGTACAAAATTAAGGACGAAGATATAGCCATTGTGTAGCCTTGCGCAAACTTCAGAAACAACCAACTTTTCTGCTATAGGATTTATGGATTGTCATCGATAAATCGGCAACGAATATGTAAGTGTGCCTTTTATAACGTTAGTTCCTTTCAGACCATAACTATATCCTACATCTACAGGATTTCTCGGCCCTATCTAATAAAAGTTCTTTATTTACAGTTTGGCTGAGTCAAACAGTCTATGACCCCATAAACAGTTGTTTACCATAGTCGAAATAACAGTTTTAATGTTAGCCGATTCTAAATCACCAGTTAAAAGCAGAATTACACACACGAGTATTAGTTACATATGCGTTAGCCAACAGTAATACCTCTTCTCTTGCTTTTTTACCCCCCAGTGGCACAGCGGAATGTCTGCTAAAAAACAGGTTTCGATACTCGTGATGGGCAGAGCACAGATAGCCCATTGTGCTTAATTACAAACAAATAAACCCTTGCTTTTTGCTACTCTAAAGATATAAACTGAAAATACTTTTGAAAAACACTAGACAGTCAAAAAGCTAAGAAGGATAACAAGCAACATACAAAAAAAAATATGTTCAGTTTACTGAACCTCTCTAGTTTCAAATTCAGGTGTATTACTGAAGAAGTATTACTATCACCAGTATTTCCTCTATCTATATTTTTTAACTTTAGCTAAGAGACTGTGCAGTAATCTTAATTACTTGTATATACATATTTTTAAAATTCACTGTACTGCTAAAATTGACAATTCCTATTATTAAAACTGTTAGCTTCAGACATACAAAATTTTAGGTATCACATGTTCCTGAAATGCAGTCTTTATATTAAAAAACAACAACAACAAACTTGTTTTTATTATATTTATTCACCTTCTGCAATATAATAATGAATAGATATTTGCGCTCAATACATTGAAAACTATGATATGTAACTGCATTAACAAACAACGCTGCTGTATAAAGAAACGAAAGGTCTATATTGTTATCAAGAATAAATGCAACCTTTTGGAACAACATTTTAGATACATCAACAAATCACGCTGCTGTTTAGGAAAGGTCTGTATTGTTATCAAGAATAAATGCAACATTTTGAAACAACATCTTAAATACATCAACAAACAACGCTGCTGTATAAATATACGAAAGGTCTGCATTGTTATCAAGAATAAATGCAACATTTTGAAACAACATCTTAAATACATCAACAAACAACGCTGCTGTTTACGAAAGGTCTGTATTGTTATCAAGAATAAGTGGAGAATGCAAATTTTACCCTAGAAATTGTGACTTAGTCACTGTTTTGTTTTTCTTATTTTAGTCTCATTTTAAAGCCAGCACACAGAACATTTTTTTATCTGCTAATGAAAACACACGTTAAACAAAAGGATGGTGTTAGCCAATCTTTATAGCAAGTATAGGAGATGATAGATTGAAACCATGCTTGTCTTGGATAAACAAACGATCTGTCAGCATTTCTACTGAGACAAACCTAATACGCGTCAGGAACACGGAAAACCGAAGCATTAATTTTGTTGAGTGCCTTTAATTGGAAACGAAGCTGTGAAGTAAATGTTTCGAACGTTACAGTAATGGCTTCAAATGTGCTTTCTGTTTACCTATCAAGGCCTACCTTTAAATTCGTAATGTGATGAAAATGCTCGATGTATAGGAACACGTACAACGTCTTGTAAACACTGAAATATCAGTAAGTTTCGATTTCGATATGTGAATTATTTTGCTTCATTCTAAAATATTCTAAATACATAATTATTATTACTAATAAAAAGCGCACACACTTCCGGTTGCTCAGCGATAAGTCTCAGGGCTTATAACGATAAACATCCAGTTTCGATACCATCGGTGGGAAGAACACAGATAGCCCAGTATGTAGTTTTATACTTAACAACAGACTAACTAATTAACTGATAAAAATTACAATTAAAACAAAGTATTCCTAGTATTTTTCTTCGTTAATAGTTTGATGTTAAGGGCGTAAATAATCAGAGATTAAATGATATTTAAATACGTTATTGTTCAACATGGCTAGAATTTTCTTAATACGTTTTGTGGTGTAGGGAATTAAACATTGAATATATTTCAAAAAAATGACAGTCCATAGCAATTACATATAATATAAGTGTATTTAATATTATTCAGTATACAAACGAAACGTGAACTGTACCGGACAAAAGTCACAGTAAGGCTGTGAATAAAAGAAACAAGTAAGACAATTAGAAGTCTTGTTACACAACTGAAGCTCTAAAATGACGTGCACAATAATCAACTTGTCCATATGTGTGAAGTCTTGCTCCAGCATTTTCGGGACCAATAACGTTATAGTTTGTATATGAGAAGCGTTGCTACTTCCTTCTATGGAACTCATTAACATAAGCGACATCTAGGTAGGGTTGACGTGTTAACTCTTCGTTGGTTGGTTGTTGTTAAACTCAAAGCTACACAGTGGGCTATCTGTGCTCTGCCAACCACAGGTATCGAAACCAGATTTTTTGCGTCGTAAGCCTACAGACTTACCGTTGTACCACTAGGGGGCTGACTCTTCGTGGAAGTTAGAATAAGCGATAAGTAAGAAATAATAATAATTACCGTATTAAATACTGCTAAAGAGTAAATAATTTGTTAATTCATTGGTCTCGATAATGCTGGAGGAAACGTCCATGTAACTAATTTTTTGTAATGTTAGGATTTCAGTCATGTACTATGATTTATATTTATATGTATGCATTGCCTTACACTTTTACTCTTCGCAATCTTACTGTACTTTTTACCCGTAAGAGTTTTTTTTATTGATATCTGATGTTGTTGTTTTTAGCAATGATGTATCCAATAGCTTACTTTTTCCTTAATAAAATAAAATATTATAGAAATGTATTTAATTACAATTTTAAACATAAATATCTTAATTTACCAATGATCTATTTCTTGAGAAGTGTTCACATGACACTTAATTGGCAGTTGTCACGTTTGACCACTGGTGGTGTTACGTCAACTATAAACTACTGTGGTACAACGAAATTGAAAATAAAAGAAGGAGAAAGTTAAATCACACAAAAAAAGGTTAAAGTTAAATATATCTTTCAATGTTCCCAACGTTTCGGACTAAAATGCCCTTTGTCTGGTGATTTTAAACTTCAGAGGAACAAAAGGTTTGATACCACACGGATTACCAAATACGCAACGTTCAAAATTAATATCATGAAACAGATATAAAGGAGCATACATTTGAATCAGCAACAAATAAAGGTTGTTTTGAAAGTCGGATAATATTGATATGTATATATCATCTATTTATCGTTAGCCAGTTTTGGTTTTATAGTAATTTAATATAACTCTTTATAACTATGGTATATACCTATAATGTTATACCTACAAAGCTATACTTCACTCATGTAGTATTAACTGAAATTGTTTGATAATTATCCAAACATGGTGCATTACCAGTTATTTTGAGTAATACATTTAAGACCATCAGAAGTTACTCTGTAAAATATTGTCTCTTCAGCTTACTCTTACTTCTGTTATAACTATACTTACTGGCAACATAAAATTATAAGTTACTAAACTTTTACACCACCACCAACAACAACAAGAAGGATCGTAACAAGCTAGAAATGTATTAATGTTTCCCTTTTAACTGAAGCTTAATGTTCAATGCTATTTTACAGTGAGCTTATGCATGAAGGATTAGGGCGTCAAAGAAAATTTGGAAATATTGTTTCTGAAGGATTGATTTTAACAATGGGTGTTATATGATAAAACATTCTTACTTATGACGTGCATTACTGAAGACCAACACGTGTGTTCTCGAGACGCATGTAGTGAACTATACTTATGTGACACATTAATAAGTAAATATGTTATTACCTACCCGTAAAGGAGAGCTGCTCCAGCAATGGCTCCACCACACTGAGCTACCGCATACAGACTAGCCCTGAGAGATGATATTTTCCTGGTCACAAACATGGTAAAAGTCACAGCAGGGTTCACATGTGCACCAGAGATATGACTGAAACACTGAGTCAGAGTAGCCATTGTTAGACCACTGGTCAAGGCCTTGATGGTCAAGTTGCTGGGATCGTGACCTGGCCAAGTAATGTGAGCTCCACACAAAAGAAAGACATAGAAGAAGCTTGCTAAACATTCTGCTATTATGGATCTCCAAAATTCAAGCGTCTTAATCTCCTCTCTGATGCTTTTTTGCTTGTTCATTTGCAAGTGCATTTTCTCCACCCTATCAATTAGGTGTAAAAAAAACGATTCCAACGATATGGTTGCCATTGTCCGATAGTGATGCACTCCTGGACAACTCTCTCAGTATCTAGAAATAGTTACAGTTTGTAATATAGGATTGCTTTTAATGTGACACCTTTAAAGTGCAGAATGTACAGAAAACATATCAAGTTACCAGTGAGTTTAATGGAAGATACCGTATTAAATGAGCCTCAATGTTTTCTGGGTTAACATACGAAGTTTCAACTGACCTCATATTCGGAATCAAAATATTAGTACACTAATCTGCGAAGTTCATATTAAAATATTTTGAAAAGTGTGATCTTTAAATGTTGGATCAGATTGAAAGATCATGCGTAAATAGAAGGAAAGCCGTGTGAACAGACTGAACGTTGCCGCACGCGCAAGTCGGGCGACCACCGCACGAGTCCACTCAGTTAGAACGCGATGAGTGTTCGTCCTTAGAAAACTGTCAGCCTTTGACAGAAAAATCCTTATAAGAAACCAGCCATACTGCTAGTGTTAAATGAAGATTGTGCTATAAACAAGAATCCTCTCTAAGTGAAAATACTACAAACGTTTATAACTGTAACAGATCCAATAGTTCAGGAGAGAAAGCACCATCAAGAACTTTACCTTTTTGTTTGTGCTCGGATGTCGCCTGCCCGCTGCTAGCGACGACTATCTGTCTGGCACGAGAAAATTGGCACGAGCTTTGACTGACAAGTAGGTGGAGCTCGGTAGGATAGAGGTGATACAAACGCTCAAGATATAAACATAAAATAGTACAAATATACTATCAGTAAATATATAATATCAGTAAATCAAGGAAGAATTAATTTGATATTTAAAACAAGGATAATGTTATTAAATACTTAAGCTCAGCTCTTCTCATAGTGCTGAATTATTATCCTTGTTTTTACTTCGGTAGACGTGGCATTATTATTATTTTCACTTAAACGAGCATTCGGCATATGTTGCTGTAAAACAAGCATGAAACCTTGGAGACTTTTTGCCATTTCTTAAGGGTTAGCGTGTGTTTATTATTGCTATTTTCCATTTTTTCGTAAATGAAGTATATTCAGAACAGTAGACATGGCAGTTGCATATTAGTTTCCTCCAAAATTAAAATCAAATATATATTTATATACTTGCACCAAATTTAGAGACAAAATGAGATATCAACGCCGTGTACTTATAAAAAAGTCTCTTTCTAGTTTGCAAAACCTCTTTGAAAATATGTATTTCGAGTCATTTTTAACATTTGTTTGGCCTTCATTTGAAATGTATGTTTGAAATACACGTTTTTCTAGCTCGGATTGCTTTTAATATTACACTTCTGAGCAGTTCAATTAACTGGGGTTTCTAGTAATAAACAAGTATTGCTCTGATAATGCTAATTTCATTAATGTTATCCTATGGGAAAGCGAAACGAAAATAAATAGAATTCGATAAAAAAGTGGTAAAACTAGAATGTTACTGTATTCTTCTTATCTTTTTATATGTTCACATATTTCAGTTGTTAGAGTTTCTTTTCAGTCTACTTTCCCTCGTACAAGGTTGAAAGCAAGTCATGAAATATTGAACGTTTTCACAACTAGCTGAGTCATTAGTGAATTTTAAATTGCCTGATATTGATTTGACTCAAGAGTATACTTTAGGTAGGGGCCATAACTGAACTCAAGCTTTTCATAACTGCTTGATTCTTACTCGATTTTACTAGTTGTTCGCCAGACAGTCGGAAAAAAAAACATACTATAGGAAGACTGATATTGAAAAGAAAAAAAACACCCCATATTAAATTCAGAGAACAGGTAGGGTTTGAGAGTTGCAATACACCAATAATACCAGCCTGGAATCTCGTCATAAATTTGCTAAGCAACAAACTAGGCTAAATAAAGTTTTCAGTTTCGTTTTTCTTTTCGAACGTAGTTATGTCATCGGTGGATTATCACTAAGTCTTAAGTACCATGAGTTTGTTAAGATCAATTACAATTATATATATATATATAATATTAAAGTCTAATATATATATGATTACATACAGGTTTTTATATACATGGAATTTCAGCATATTTTTTCTTCAAGTTTAATGCTTCATGTTTCACGTAATAAACTCGTTTTCTTGTGTGTAAAACACCATACGAACTCCGTACTTCTCTGTAAAACACCATATGAACTCATGTACTTCTCTGTAAAACACCAAAGTCGATACAACCTGGGAACACTCATGTGTTTGATCCCGGTGAAAGCATGGCTAAGTACACTTTAATTCAATCAATCATGTGTACGCCCATGTACAAGCGTTTATCTTCATTGATAATAATGTTAACTTAGGGTAAGGTAGTGCTCCATCTACCGTGTATTCCACCTTCTTCTCTTTGCCGAATCCCTTCCTTTCATTCATGACAGAAATAAATGTACGTCTTATACATGGCGACGTAACTAATTCCTTGCTAAAAGAGATAGATGTATATCTCCTACAAGGCAACATAACTAATAATTCATCCTCGCGGTAACAATTAACGCAATAACAACGCTAAAGTAAAAAAAATAAAAAGTCTTCGGCCATAAGAAATCTCTATGATGAATAACAGTTAATTAGGTGAATTAGTGTTAGATTGATTTTCATATTTTCTAATACAGTGTTTTATGACAATAAAACCTTTGCACATGATGACTTTTTATGAAATGTAAATCGTTTTCTTTCTCGTTAACCGTTTCAATCATTTACATTTTTAGATTTTTGATATTATTTCTGTAATATCTTTTATTCACATCAAGGATACAAGAGCCGTTCAGGCCAGGTGGGGCATTTGCCTCACCAACAATTTGCCCAAACTTACTTTGAATATTTTTGTTGTTAAGTGATGTTATGTCCTGCCATATTACTTTACAATCAAGCTGCTGCTGGTCTTTGCTAATTTGTGTTTTGTGTGAACTCACTGACGGCCAAGTATTACACACACTGTTATAAGCTTAATAGAACAACAAACTATATAAATTAAAACACACTTTCTAAAGAAAATATTGCACTGTGTATGCTTGTTGTCTATTGCCTTTTGCGATTCAGATCACAAAAAGGCATGACGAAAAAAGAGACTGTGACGTCATACAAAGTTACAAGTGTCTTGCTGCAGATTGGCCAACCAACGAAAATGCATCAAGCTAAGGAAAATATTTTTGTTGTGTATTTGTAAATGTAAGTGTTAAGTATTATACTGCAATATTTGTGTAACTTCATTTTCCATTCCGATCAACAACAATCAGTAATCGTATTCAACTTTTAAAAAATAACAATTTTATACTGATTACTTTGAATTGCATAAGCAGAATTAAGTTACTGCAAGCACGTCCCTCATACTACCCATTGCACATACGTAGAAAAGTAGTAATAGACATGGTTTCATATTTTTACTTGGATAATATTTAATTATGGCACCATACCTACCAACGTAAATTTGATTTTGGCACTCCTGCGCATGTAAACTAAATAAGGGCTTAATGCATGAACATCAACCTAAAATACTGCATTTCATTTTCAGATTAATTTATTCGAAATCCCACTTACATTACCTAATTTATAACAAACATTTACAATTCAAACTGTAATCGATTTACGGTTCTTAATCAGAAGTTGAACAATGATATGTTTGTTATCTAAATTTCTATGTAAGGATTTGTTTTTACATGGACCAATGTGATCCTTTTCTGATGTATAAAACGAGTTTAAAACAACTCCTAATTTATAGTTCAGTAGGAATATTCTGGAAAGGGAATTTTCAAGTAAAATCATTTGTAATTTTGAATTACCGACCAGATGGCCAGCAGAACTCGTTACCATAAGAGCTTTGGCTTTTTGAAAAAAATAACTGAGATGACTACCACTTTCACAACGCATCTGCAGATGGAAGTGTAGAGTTGTTCAGTGAAATCACGTATTGAACCTTGGATTAATCCATCCACAGCTCAAAATGCTGACTAATGCGCCACTCTCAGCTCAGAAGAATTTTATATAAAAATATATAAAATATATATCGACTTTTTTAAGTTAGATATTTTATTAAACATTGTGTGAATTCTGACCAAATAAATTGCCTTCCTTCTCGTTCAGCATGCAAATATTAAGTTTCTGTTAGTTTAAAGTACGTAGTAGATTTGGTTGTTTTTTTTAATGTCATCACGACAGAGCTAATTATTAGTATATCAATTAGGCTTGACGTTATTTCATTACTATGTCATTCATCTTCTCTCTGTTTTTGGCATTATATGCAATAGAAACAATTTAAACTTAATCCACCACAAATACGCTATCATCACGTAAATTCAAATAACCTCCAGGTATCGAGAATTCTGATAAGTAAACAAATTTTAATTATGGCGGAATATTAGTCCTTAGCTTAGTTTCTATAAGTGGATGTATAATTGAAGTCCATTTATATTTTTGAAGATAGCTTTTTTTTTATCTACAAGCAAAATCAAATGCACGTTTATTACATAACATATTCTCAGGATTGGAAAATGCTTTAAAACTTCTTGTTACCTTAGAAAGGATTTCTGAACGATGACCAAACTACAATGGGTGACAACGAACATCAGACAACACGTATGAAATGCTGAAGAAAAGCGAAATATTACAAAAGTGAAGAGTCTTGTGCAATTATAGAGAATTGATTTCACAGTTCCAGTCACTCATCTTTTTTGAGACTTCTTGCTCGACCCCTCCCCGGTGGTATAGTGGTATGTCTGCGTATTTACAACGCTAGAAACCGGGTTTCGATACCCGTGTTGAGCAGAGCACAGATAGCCCATTGTGTAGCTTTGTGCTTAACTTCAAACAAACAAAATTCTTGCTCGATGAATAAATGCTTTGTAATCTGCTGTATTTTCATTGACGTTTCAAAACTTCTAGTACAAAATGATATTTCATAGTTGAAGTTTGTACAAAGATATTCACACCTAGACATAAATAAAAAGGAAATGAACACCATAATACCATTTGTTTTATCAATGGCGAGGTCTGTTTATCATAACAAAGTCAGTTTATCGTACATGTCAGAATTAAAATGTCACATGGAATGCATGAATGCATATTTCCTAAAGCGCATTTCTCAGGTTCAACAGAAAAACATACATCGAGTCTCCAGGAAGGTTACATTCTTTTTTATCACCTTTTTTTTAGTCATTAATGTTTTAAGGCTTATATATATATATATCAGTCTGGAAATGTCGCAACCATGTATGCAACTTTTGTATAGTTTTCTATGGACTTGGAGAGACAATAGGTTATCAAACACAGCGAATAAACAAAAGTATAACAACTCATGGACAGTAGCAATTTGTTTCGCTGGTTCAGGCACGTGGAATTTACTGACATCTGGTACAAGTCGTGTTCTCTTCAGTTTTTGTTGTATTTCTGAGTTATTCAAGTGGAATGAAATACGAACTTATTTTAAAGAAACGTTGTATTTCAATGATTCATAACTCAAAACCGAATACATTACCAAAGTATGTTTTACTCCTTTCACAAAAGCAGAAGAAAAATAATTTTACACGGAAAGTTACAGTGCCTATGAAGCTACCCATACTTATAAAATAGGTTTCATGAACTTAAGAAATCCAATTAGAGCAAAGTAAGAGAATAACCTAATCTTTAAGCTACGTATGTGTTATTGTAAATACGTCTGTGCTCTATATTAATTCATATTTAAATTAGCTTT